CTAAGATCATACTGTGCCGTCTTCATTGGCTACTTTTAGGGCTTCGTGTTTATTGTGACTGTGATTCGGGAGGTTAGCGCCCCCAAAAGAGGTTAACTGCCGCTTATGATGGGTTTTACTGTTAACGTGTTACTTAATTTAAACCAGGATTCCGCCGGCACTTGAAATAGAATACGCGCTGCCACCTGCCGAGGCGAATGTTGTTTAGCTTCAACGTGCGTCAGAGAATGCCAAAATCTTCTCGCTCTCAGCGGGACCCAGCCCCAACTGTAGCTGTTTGGGGCCGTGTAAATCGGTTTCATCCCGTGTGTCACCTTTTTGGAAAGAAACCATTCCATGTTAAAGGAAATCTGCCTAACTCTGACGTCACTTAACTTTTTGCTTATGTGTGCGCAGTCGCCGCACAGCGAAGCGCGCGCTGAGGTTGCTTCGTCCGTCTGGACGCGTGAAACAACTCGAGACGCACCGAACGAATTTTCATGAAATTTAATACTGGAGAGTTTAACGAAAAATTTTCTACTTGTACCAGTTTGGGCCAAAATAGGCCAACAGTAACGGCCGCTTTACGAGAAGAGCTACTCACATTCCTACGAGAATCTCGAGTTCTCGTGTAGAAATGAGGCCACATTTCATGTCGCGTGTGCATTATATTTCCTAACTTGTTGATTCTGGGGCAGCCTGTTGCATGGTTTACACACGTCGCTTAGATCCGGACGCGATTTTCTCTGCTATTAGGCGTATGCATTGTGTCGAAAGTTCCTAGCTTGTGTTCTGGGTTATGACGCCGTGTACTCTTGTAGGAGCTCACTAACGTTTTAGAGGGTTAGTTACTGTCCCCTTTCGCCGCGCCATAGCTCAAACGGTTAGTCGCTGGCTTCCCATCGCGGCGGTCCGGGTTCGATCCCGGGTCTGGTCAAGTGGAATCTGTGGTGAACAAAGTGGCGCTGGGGCAGATTTTCTCCGAGTACTTCGGTTTCCCCCGTCAATCTTCGTTCCACCAATTGCTCCACAATCACCCTCACCTATCATCTGGGGCTGGTACAATAGGCCAGAAGTGGCCGCAGTACAAGGGACTTAGTCCCACCCCAGTAGCAATAAAAGAAAATACTGTCCCCTTTTGTAATACGCGCACATGGCAGTCATTTCATTGCATGCCATTTTAAATAACGAATACGCCATCTAAATTTCAAATTTGAATTCATACTGCGTACAGTACAAGTAGAAATACTGGGGATGTGGTTACTTTGATTATCAGGACCTCAGGACCGTGCTCATTACAGGACACAATAAAGTGGTAGGGAAGGTTTATATCACACCCAATAAAATTCTACCACAACCCTTTCACAGCGCTTTTACACCCATGGCTACCGTACATACTGGCAAGCAGTACGGAGTAAACTTCATAATAACGTGACGCATTGCTACGCAACAGTTGTCTAAACGCGTTCCCGGGCGTTACGCTGTCAACGAGAATAGACGTCCATTGCTGGACAACGGGGTTGATTACCACGGTATTTCAGGCGTATCCGGCACAACGGAGGCATGAAACAGTAGTGGAGCCCTTGGAGTTGGTGCTTCTATCGCGGCCGCTTAGCAGTTGTAATACCCCACCGTGACCCTTCGAGTCGTAGGAGGCGACGAAAAGGGAAGTCTCAAATCTGAGACAGTAAAATATGGCCACGAGTCCCAAGGGAGTCGGACCCGAGAAAGACTGCGCTGGCAAGGGCCAGCAGCATATACAAAAGACAAACCTGTCCTCTCGTCAGAGAGGGCGCCCCACAAAAACAAGACCGTAACTGTCAAACAGTAATAAAATCTGGTCCGTGAGCAACAGATGGGGCTCGACACCAAGACTTACTGACCGATTGACTGCCAGTCGCAATGTGACTTTGACTTTAGATCCAGAATTCGAGGGACTGAGACCAGTGCGATATTCAGACAACGGAGAGAGGTTCGTCGGCCAGACGTCGTTAGAAGGTGGTTCAGTGTGTGAGCTCTTATCAAGTGTAATTGTAAAGAAGTGCCAATAAATCCAATCATCAGATCTGGAAGCCACAATTATTAGTCACGCTAGCCCCTTATACGTGTGTTCTGTATCGGATCCGCAGTAGCGACTGCGATAGCCACACAGCGTGGGCATAGGAGTGGCTTTGCTGGATAGTTATGAAGATAAACGGCTGCGACTTCCTGAAGAAACAAATGTTTGTAGCTCGCAGCCTCAACTCGAGTTTGTGCTTGCACGTAGTTTCGATAACCCCCCCCCCTTCCCCGCATCTCATTGGCAACAATTCAAAACTAAAAATAATCTGGGATATACGCGCCAGTGCTTCTTACTATTTTGCACATATTTTATGTTCTCGAGGCATCAGAAGCAGCGCCCTTCCCCGCTAACCCTTTGTGCTCACGTTTCTAGGAAATTTTCGTTTTGACTGAGACCACAGTTTCACTTATCGTTTTAGTCGGGGCGTGTATAGACTAAAATCCCTCATCACGAGAAGAGGTTAGCTTGTAACGCTTTGAATCAGACTGGTAATTGTGTGGCACCTGCTGTAACATTCTGCAACCTGCCCACACAGTTCGTCAGGTTCAGACATTCAAAAGCGGTTATTTTCCCAGAGCTTTAAGTGAATGGTCTTTGGCATGGAGACGCAATTTGTTTCCTGTGAGGTACGAACCTGAACTTTTATATGTTTTTCGAATCAGTTTTGTAGGCTTCAGTTAGTCTTTGGCTGGATAATGAGGAAACACATAACTGTTCAGCACCTCACGCGAGAGCATTCAGCGAATAATTACTTAATCGTGACTTAAACTGAGTAATTATCGCACTGCGCTGATGGCGTGTTTCAGTGTGCGTGATAGTACCCCATTGAATGGTTTTGCTAAAGCCGTGACCCAGTTTTCCAATGGAACGCGGACTAGGATTTGTTTAATACGAGAGATGTTCAGTAAAGGCGTGGTGCTATTGATATTGTATCGCTTCGCTTCTGTGTGCAGACACGCTTAACGGCCCACAGTACAACAATCGATAAACGAGGACTGCCCGCTCGGCAAGACTTCTAGCTTATCTGAACCGATTTGAAACAATTAACTGTATTATCTGTTCAGTCAGAATTTCTCCACTTACTGCAAGAGTAAAGCTATCCCTGTAACAGGCCGTGGAGGCCCATAGGGTTGTGAGATGTTGAGGCTCCCACATTTTCTAGACAGTCGGCTCATAGATAGCGGCAAGGCTAGCCCTAGGCGCCGGCCGCCTCGACCCCAGGGCCATAGTGGGGCTGGAGGGATGTTTTACCATAACAGCCCGTATTCAAATTTCAGCATACGTAAAGTACACGTAGTTTCTCTGTAGAGTTGGCCGGGACTTCTAAGGGAGGAAACGTGGCTAAAGTTTTAATTCTGTCCAACCGGTCACGGTAGACGAGCGGTCTAAGACATGAACTGTCTTCGCTCGCTCGGATGCCGGGACCGTGGGTTCGAATCCCACACAGGGCATGGTTGTTTTGTGTGTGTATGCGTTTATTCTGTGTTTAGGTAGAAGCCTTGCGATGAGCTCATCCCCCATCCAAGGAGTCCTACCATCTGTAGCACGATCATGAAACTCAAGAATCTGAGGCCAGGACCCAAAGGGGCTGTAGACCCCGTGAAAAAGAAAACTACATACAGTGAATGGACTTATGCTGCTTAATTTGTGTAGTGAGAGTTGTCCCTTAGGAGGTCGAGGAAGTATGTTAAGTTGTTTTATATCGACGTATTAAATAGCGGCATGAGCGTGACGTCATGCGAACAGCCTGAGTGACCACTAAATTGCTGCTGGTCCTCGCCAGCAAACTCGTGGTCATATTGTACCGCCTCACGACTCTGGGAGTCATGCAACCCTCATATGTAAATGTAACTGTTCTTCCTTAAAGCGGACCCAATAGAGAACGCACGTAGAGATTACGAAACATAGTCCATACTCTTTCCTGTATATACGGTGGCGATGTCCAAGTGTTGCCGTAGAAGTTTTGTGTGCATTTTGAGTCCTCATTCACAGTATTTCCTTTTAATTACGTCACTAAGCGTTAATGTCTCAATTGGAGTGTTATTCCTTTGAAGGTCTTATCTGCTGTGACTCCTGTCGCTTCAGGTGTATTCAAACCGCTACGTTTCGGGAGGCGTAGTTGCTTCATCACGTGATAGGTCCAGGGTGTGAGAGTCATTCTTTCCTTATCCTGTCAACTGAAGAAAGAAACAGAATCAGCTTCCGAAACGTTGTTTGAAAGACCTGGGACGATGGAGAACGTCCAGAACATCAATCACAAAAATTGTTGTACACTAAACATCGATAGAAACCGTCAGACTTGGCCGGAAATAATGTTTACAGCATCGTCCGGTTATTTCAGAACATCCTGGAGGATGGGCCGTGATTTATCGAAGTCGGCCGCACAGAAGTGCCTGCTGCTTATGTCGATTTGGAGTCTGTCCATCACGTCTGGTGGCCACATGATGCTGACGTCAGTATTGACCTGAACAAATATATTACAGCATCTGCGTCGTACCTTTAATCGTACATCCATACTAGGCGCTTGGTATCCACCCTCCCACCCCAACGCCGTAGCTTCCCTTCAGAATCCCTGACCAACTTTTGTATGAATTTCTGAACATGTCCTTTCGATCCCGTCCTCTATGCTTTGGCCACCCTAGTAACTTGCCCATTTGTTCAAGAACGCAAATCATGAAGCTCCCCTTTATGTAGTGTTCTCCATTTTTCTATCACTTCCTCTTTCACCTCAACGTCCTGTTCTCATTCTGTCCCATCTTATGATCTTGTGTATGACACCGCATAGTCTAGTAGGCTTGCCAACTACGGTGAAGTGAGCAGTGTACCAGACTAGACGGTATTATACTGCATGAAAACCACGAACCTTACGCGCCCGTTCTGTGCCCCTTAGGCCCGAAGCAAGGTCTCGAACCCATGCACAGCAAGTGACGAAGCTTTCTCTCTCTTGTTTTGAGTGCAGATCCGAGCCGAGCAAGAAGGTGCGAGTGACCTTCTTTGAGTCCGAGAAGCCTTTGATCGTGACCTCACCAGAGCCATCTGACCTCACCGACGATTTGGATGCTTCTGGCATCATTGCCGCCATGACGACCTCTGGACCTCTATCTGACCATGCGCCGCCTTACGCCCGCCAGACCAGGTGAGTCCGTTACACTACATGCAGCATATTCGAGCTGAGAGTAATTATGTGGAGGGACATAGACGGTCATGGGTCTCCACGTATGCGTGAGTTCTGCTCCGGCACGGCGCTAACTATATATGCCACCTGCTCTCACGGAAATTCAGCATTTCGCCTGCAAATTGTATTTATACGTGTCACGCGACTCACACAGAAACAGCGACCATTTCCCGAATTGGTCTCTGTGATGTTTCTGTTTCGAGAAAATTCACTTTTAAATTATTATTTTGTTGGAAGTTCAAGCTTCGAAGGGTTGAGTGCTTCTCCTGGTTAGTTGCCAGCGGAACTTCCAACACCTGGAAATCTGCCTGTAGTTGCCAAGTTGCAAGACAGACGCAATGCACAACACTAAATTTGTGATTTTGCGAAACAGTCGCTGTTTACTGTGAGAAACATACAAGAGACGTAAATAACAGTCTTTGCAGAATGCAGAGTTAACCTGGTGATAAGGCAAGTGGCACTGGTTCTCACAGAATTCATATTCTAACCTGTAATTCTAACCATCTTGAAATTATTTTCACGACAGACTCGTTTAAAAAACTCAACGGAAAATCTCGTTAATTTGTTTTATAAGCTTTGGTACTGTGAACTTCGTGCTATCTGCCATATCCCTTTTCATCCCTGCTGTTATCGACTGATGCGTCGAAGCCAGCACTTGACTCCATCTTCCACGAGTAATACACACAAATAATAGTAAGCCATCTTCATGGAGCCTACTACAGCTCACATATCCACATCAAAATACAAGTTACAGCTACCCGCAGAATAGACACGATACACTGGAACAAAAATATTCAGCTTGCTCGTGACCTATATAACTTACCTATATAACCTATATAACTTATATACAACGTGTTAACGCTCGACAGTTCGTTGCTATGGTAACCCGAAATTGCGTAATGACAGTACTGAAGTCCACGCATACAGAAGAGCACCATGAAAGCAGTGTGCCCTCAGCAGTAAGGGAGTATGAGGGAGAAATTACGCTGGTATGTGAACTTTACAGACACTCGACAAGGCGATTAACAGAAATGCCAACGGATTTGGCATTTTCCGCCGTATGAGGCGTCCTGCCCCCGTGATGGTTGGTGTTCAGCATGCAGCGAAAAATTGATCACGTGGGCACAGCTAGCTGCGAAATGCTGAATTGTGCGCCAGAAACTGGCGTTGTGATACGAGCTCCGTTATGATTTGCCACGTTTCACAAGTACATCGCGTTACATGAGATTTGAGGATGACTTTCTTCTGGGATGTGATGTCGTGTAGTCTGGTAGATCCTTATTTACGTTTCGGAAGAACTTTCGACCTCGACCAGCCTAGTCGCTAGGCCGATTGTTACTTGAACCCAGTGCATAAGATGAACGCACTAAGTCTGCAGCCACCTGCCCACGTTTGTTCCTCGCTCGCGGATTTTATACCCTGAAGATGGAGGCGATACGTTCCTCCAAAATGTCGGTTTACATAATATGTACACGGCGCCACATCCCAGAAGACTTCATTCTTCATAGTCACCGGCGTGAAAACAAATTTTATATAGTTGTTCGCTAACTAATTGTGGAGTACTGGCAGAATCAGAGTTACTATATGCGAAATTATATCTGCAAGAACCCGGAAGGTTGCGGGTTCGTTTCTCGATGAAGTCATTGCATTTTTCAATTTACCTAATCCTTGCAGCCGCAGTTTGGCCCTGGGGTCGACTCAGCGTCTAACAGAAATGAGTACCAGGAATCTTCCTGGGGGTAAAGGGCAGCCGGCGCGTAAGGCTGACAACCTCACTGCCATCTGTGAGCCGATTTTCTAGAAAATGTGAGAGCCTCGACGGCCTGTTACGTGGATAACTTTTACCTATTCGCAGCAATAGATTTTTTCGAGAATAAATGAACACCAAGGCGAATGAGGTGAGGGAAATGCCGTAGAAGGATTTCAGACTCGAACAGCTTTCCAGGAAATGGATTTTAAATGCTGGTTACTGTCGAAACTTGAATGCGATTTCCGTTACTGATTTCAGTGATTAAGTGCACTGTTCGATAGGCAGTTGACTTCCCAGATGCAGCGTCTGAAAGGGAAAATAGACGTTTTCTGGAATAAATGATTGTCAGTGTGGGTGAAGTTTGCAATTCACGGAAAATATGTTAACCCAGTTTGGAACATTTCCAAACACCAGTAGGTGTAGACTTAACTGAAGGAAAATTGGCGTGAATTCATTCTGCCAGGGACAATTGCATTTACTGCTTATTTATTGCTGTTAACTTATGACCCTAAGTATTATCATGGCTTGAACTGTGACCTATCGCCTCTGTAGGCCACAGATGACACCACTTCTTGCCGTAACTTCACACAGAATATTCGCTTCATGTCACCTAGTTCCGGCCTTAAACGTTTTCTCATCAGTTCTGCAGGACCAAGAAGAAACGCTGCTTTGCGTCTCCATTACAAAAACCAGCCGGTAAATGCTGTTTAGGGAAATTGTCGCTGTTTATTATGATAATCGTAAAGGCGCGTCCACATTACTCGTGCTCATGCTTGCCAGGCTTGTGCTCGTCGGGAGACTCGTCTGGATTTTACTCGTGCTCGTAAATCTTCATCCACACTACTTCAGTTGCTCGCCACGCTTCGGCGCGTGAGGATCCGTATATTTACTCGTAGTGTACATAGGCTGTAGTCGTATTTTAATTTACTGGCTTGTCTCGTGACTTGTCATGTCGTCCACATTACTCGAGAGCATAGCGAGTCACACGAGCA